TACTAATAGAACTGTTGTTTTTACTACTAATAGAACTGTTGTTTTTACTACTAATAGAACTGTTGTTTTTACTACTAATAGAACTGTTGTTTTACTACTAAAAGAACTGTTGTTTTTACTACTAAATGAACTGTTGTTTTTACTACTAAAAACTGTTGTTTTTACCACTAAAAGGACTGTTGTTTTAACTATTAAAAGAACTGTTGTTTTAACTATTAAAAGAACTGTTGTTTTAACTATTAAAAGTACTGTTGTTTTTACTACTAATAGAACTGTTGTTTTTACTACTAAAAGAACTGTTGTTTTTACTATTAAAAGAACTGTTGTTTTTACTACTAAAAACTGTTGTTTTTACTACTTTTACTACTAAAAGGACTGTTGTTTTGACTACTTTTACTACTAATAGAACTGTTGTTTTTACTACTAAAAGGACTGTTGTTTTTACTACTTTTGCTACTAAAAGAATTGTTGTTTTTACTACTAAAAGAACTGTTGTTTTAACTATTAAAAGAACTGTTGTTTTTACTACTTTTACTACTAATAGAACTGTTGTTTTTACTACTAAATGAACTGTTGTTTTTACTACTTTTACTACTAAAAGGACTGTTGTTTTTACTACTTTTACTACTAATAGAACTGTTGTTTTTACTACTAAAAGGACTGTTGTTTTTACTACTTTTACTACTAAAAGAACTGTTGTTTTTACTACTAAATGAACTGTTGTTTTTACTACTTTTACTACTAAAAGGACTGTTGTTTTTACTACTTTTACTACTAATAGAACTGTTGTTTTTACTACTAAAAGGACTGTTGTTTTAACTATTAAAATAACTGTTGTTTGTGCTACTTCTGTTACCAAAAGGATTGTTGTAACGTGTTATATCATTGGATGGGCTCATTTGGATTATTCGATAAGAATAACACCAAGTCTAATCTGCTTGACGATAACAAGTTAACCTATTTGTTCAAAAAAATGTTTGTTCCTTTGTAGGCCTAATTTCATAAATATGTGTTTCTATAGAAATCCCGAAACTAATGATACATTCACAGTTACATGATTAACCTAAACTTATTAACTTTCATTGTCTAACAAATTGCAGCCGAATTTAATGTCCCACTGATTGTTCATTAACTAACTCAATATGTAAGTCGTACTCGTTTTCTGCTTACTGCACAAAGCTTCTCGATCCTTAACTTTCATGAAATTTCTAAATACTGTTCATGCGCCCTCTAACAAAACAACAACAACAAATATATTTATTAAAATATTAAACATGTAGGTTACAACACTACATTTATTGCTAGTGATTTTTTATTTTATTTGGTACTTACATAAGCCTGTCCTCAGTTGACATGATTGAACGTCCATTGGGTAATAACGCAAATACATAGGGCAGCTCACGTGTTGAAGGTAACTGTAACAGGAGATAAATGCTGTATGAAAGAGTTGTAGATTTTAAAACTTAAAGACCTAGAAGTAACGACAACCATCTGTGACATGTTCTTGAAATGCGCCCTCTATTATTTGTACTTTTACAAGCAGTTCAATTTTAATCGTACAGGTTATTTATTTGTTGTTAAACGCAAAGTCAAAGAATGGGCTATCTGTGCTCTGCCCACCACGGGTATCGAAAACCGATTTTTATCGTTACAAGCCTTATCGCTGAGCCACAGAGGAGCTGTTTTTTTTATTAGTTGTTGTTAAACACAAAGCTACACAATGGACTATCTGTACTCTGCCAACCGTGGGTATCGAAGCTCAATTTTTAACGCTATAAGCCCTTAGACTTACCGCTGAGTCACACGAGGGCTGGAAAGGTCATAAAGTTGAAATTATTTTATCCTTAGATTACATTGATCAGCTTTAATAAAAAAAAAAAAATCGAGTACAGCATTGAAGCTTTTATAAACTTTTAAGGGCAAGAAACGAAAGTTGCTAGAACATGAGCCACCTGTCGGAATTATCACTGAAATAAATTATGCACTTCAAATAACAGAATGTCGTCCATACTTCTACTTCAATGGTCCTTGTCTGGTGAAATATGTCTTCCCTGAAAATGTTGTCAATCCACAAGGTACATTTTATTTTATTCCTGATCACGGGGTAATAATAAAAACAGATGGGGTGGACAAACGGGGAGATAATATCCGCCCTCCCTCTCTCCCCAAGGAAAAGAACACCCAGAGACAACTTTTGAGTTCTACCATTAGATAGTGATCTGTCACTACCATTTCCAAAGACACTAGAGAAACACTTTAGGTTCATAAAACTTTATGAGTGATTTAGGAGTTCTTATGATGTCAGTAATGTTGTTAATAGCTCTTATGGAGTGGTTGTGATTCATAACATGAATGGAGTGATTTTGGTCTAAGAGAGAACCATAGTGTACTAAACTGTCTCTTCTAGAGATTCAGGGACTACATTGTAGAATAACAACACAGTTTAATTCTAGAAGAGAGAATAACAACACAGTTTAATACAATGTAGTCCCTGAATCACTAGAAGAGGTAGAATAACAACACAGTTTAATACAATGTAGTCCCTGAATCTCTAGAAGAGACAGAATAACAACACAGTTTAATACAATGTAGTCCCTGAATCTCTAGAAGAGACAGAATAACAACACAGTTTAACACAATGTAGTCCCTGAATCTCTAGAAGAGACAGAATAACAACACAGTTTAACACAATGTAGTCCCTGAATCACTAGAAGAGACAGAATAACAACACAGTTTAATACAATGTAGTCCCTGAATCTCTAGAAGAGGCGATTCAGGGACTACATTGTATTAAACTGTGTTGTTATTCTGTCTCTTCTAGAGATTCAGGGACTACATTGTATTAAACTGTGTTGTTATTCTGTCTCTTCTAGAGATTCAGGGACTACATTGTATTAAACTGTGTTGTTATTCTGTCTCTTCTAGAGATTCAGGGACTACATTGTGTTAAACTGTGTTGTTATTCTGTCTCTTCTAGAGATTCAGGGACTACATTGTGTTAAACTGTGTTGTTATTCTGTCTCTTTTAGAGATTCAGGGACTACATTGTATTAAACTGTGTTGTTATTCTGCCTCTTCTAGTGATTCAGGGACTACATTGTATTAAACTGTGTTGTTATTCTGCCTCTTCTAGAGATTCAGGGACTACATTGTATTAAACCGTGTTGTTATTATACCTCTTCTAGAGATTCGGGGACTACATTGTATTAAACCGTGTCACTACTCCACCATCTAGAATGTTCCACCCAGATATTTATGTACTACTGCACAACGATTTTTCTACTTCGATTGCTTATAAAGATCGCCCAAACGTTTCTTGTTGCTTATGGCTTTTGTAGTTTTTTTATTCACTAATTAGGCTTCGAAATGAGGATAAAAATATTGCTGAAATAATAGATTTTCAGGTCGAATTTCGACATTAAGATAGCGGCATCATTTTTAGACTTTAATAGAATTTTCGATCGTATTCTCGCGTTGTTATCAAAGAAAAAACAAGAACAACAAAACCTTTGGCGAGTGAGTCGTTTACGATTTCTCGAAACATTCAACCCCTGGATGGAAAAGAATGTTATTCGTCACAAAGGTAACATATACATATATAGATATATACTAATTTTATACAGTTTTATGAATGATATTCTGATGAAATTAATCTAATTTATGTTGTAAAATATATATATATTTCACTTTGAATAATTTAATAGTATATGTACGAAAACATATTTTGAAAGAATTAGCAAAATGAGCTACTAAAGAATTTTGTTCAATCACGTGACTGTTTCACCTACCGGGCACTTAGGTAAACACTGTTGTCTTGTAAAATCTTCAAATTAGTGTTAGGAACAGTAGTAGTAAACAATGATCCGGCTTTTGAGTTTTCGAAGTAAATATCCGGTTTCCATATTTGGTCAGTCAGATGGTCAGGTAATTTTACTGGACGTTTTAACGTCAGGCAGTCCAACATTAGACGAGAATCTTGCCAAATATGAAAGATGTATAGATGTAGGAAGAAATCCTGAAAAAACAGAAAAATTAAATATTTATCAACGCTCTACCTATTCAGTGTTTAATCTTTCAAAGTAACTCACCAGCATGTACTGCCTTTTAAATTTTAATTATTTAGCAAAAAAACACGTATATACATAAATAAATCCTACCATGGTCTCTTCATTCAGGCCGTAGATGTCATACAGTTGAATGGAAATGAACACGTTAAATTCACCTATATTGATAAAAACACTTGTACAATTTGATTAAAATACATACATATATATATTAAAGTTTGTTTTAGAACAAAGCCACATTGTGATATCTGCTGTGTCCACCACGGAGAGTCGAACACCGGATTTTAGCGTTGTAAGTCTGTACATTTCTTACCGCTGTCCCACCAGGGGGCATTATATAAAAAGATAAATCTATAGAAGGAACTTTCTAAGTATAATCAAAATTAGGTCAGGTCCGTTTGCTTGAAATTTTCCTACGCATTAAAAAATAATTCTGAACATATCTACTAAAGAGAAGTGACGTCTCAAACGTTTTAAATTCTTTACTCCACGATAAACACATACAAATGGATAATTGTAGACAAAGGGATATGCAAAGAGTGATGTCCCCCGGTGGGACAACGTTAAGTTTACGGAATTACAACACTAAAATCCGCGGTTCGCTTCTCCGCGGTGGACACTGCAGATATCCCCATGTGGCTTTGTTCTAAAACAAATAAACAAAGAACGATGAATAAAATTTGACGATCAAACAGCACATATGAGGTTTGCATAGAAATTATCACGAACAGTGGCTAATTACAAGAGATGCCTCCCCGCAACTGTGAGGGCTGCGGGGTTATATTTCCACTACTGATTACGAATCTTATAAATCGCTAGTGTGTGTGTGTGTGTGTTTTCTCATAGCAAAGCCACTTCAGGCTATCTGCTGTGTCCACCGAGGAGAATCGAACCCCTGATTTTACCGTTATAAATCCGTAAACTTACCGCTGCCCCACAGGGGAACATTGAGTCGTTTTTTTTTGACAACTGATTTCTTAACACAATAAACTAAGTTTCCGAGATTGTATCAATCAGTGTGTTCTCCAACTTAACGTGTTACATACGGTGATATTTCCTTTCTACAAATGTACACAAAGGATCAAACAAAAGATGTTATCTCTAAAACTGCCACTCAAATTAAACGACATCTAAATTTGACCTTCAGTGGCATAGCGGTAAGTCTGCGTACTTATAACGTCAAAAATCGAGTGGCCACAGTACAGATAGCCCATTGTGTTCCAACAAACATCAAACTCGTAAACACACTTTCTCTGTGCTTCAGTAACTACCTGAATCAATAGACAGAAGCGGTGTTTTTAAGATAATTTGTGTTTGTATCTTGTATTTATGGCAAAGCTATTAAGGCTATCTGCCGTCGTCACTGGTTTCGAACTACTGACCAGAAGGAAGGTACCAGTCAGTATCACCCTATCACGCACCATCGAACTCAAACTGCGGTTGTTATTGTGAGGTACCGCACAGTCTCGAACCCGGTTCGCCAGCTCCGATATCCAGAGGTCAACCACAAGACCAACCCACGCCTAATTAATAGTGGACTTCATTAGTGATCTGAAAACAAAAATGACTTTTCTCCTACTGTGTATAAAGTAACTGCAGCTCAATCGTCATTGTTAATTTGGAGGCCAGGTGTGGCTCAGCGGTTAACGTGCTAATTGGTTAATTCGAGGGTTCATGGCTCGTGTCCCATTACCGCAAAAATTCACTTTGGGATCGTATGTGCTCTATATGAGAAACAGTGACATCTCACTAGTCGGTCAGACAAAAGTAGCCTAAGCGTTGGGGCTGTTGGCCAGAGACCTTCCCTCCAGTTTGTATCTTAGTGGGTCAGAGGTAAATTTACGGACTTATATCACTAAAATCCGCGGTTTGATTCTAGCGGCGGTGGGTACAGCACAGATAACCAATTATATAGCTAAAAACAACAACAACCCTCTAGTTTAGCAAAAGCTTTGCGATAAAATTCTACAAAAAGACAAGCGTTGTTAGTTTGGAAACTATCTATACCAAAGTTGTAGGCTTAGGTATTAACAAACCACATTTATTTTGAAGTCCCATTCCTTTCATGTTTTTATTTGTAATTGTATTTCAAGCATTTGATTTTTTTTTTGGGGGGGGGGTTACAACTTCAACAATATAATCATTTAGTTAATATATAATTCTACTTCCCAGCGCCATACAACATCGTACTCAAACCAATATAAAATGAAATGAGAGGGTTACCATCCTCAGATACTGGTGGCTCCACCTTCTGGTATCCAGGAGGTATAATACTTTCATACATCGTCGTTTCATTGCACCTACAGCATAAGAAATAATTACAGTAATTAATTTAAAGAATTATAAAGCTTTTATGATGCACAAACATTGAAAGTGTATATGCTTTGATTT